GGTTGTAGCCCCAACGATGGTCCTGCTCGTCCACGCGGCCGAGATCCGGGGGTCCAGATCGATCCAGGCCCCAAGATCGATCGACCTGATTCTCTCAATCCTTAGTCAAGTTGCCCATTGAACCAAGAAAAGGGTACAAACGTCCGTTGAATAGGGGACCCCCCGACCCCAACAAGGCTAGCACTGCAGTTGAAAGAGCGCAGAAGGTAGAACAGATCCACTGCTTCAAAGGTCCAGGGGACACATTGGCAGTGTATGTCCCCTTCAACCATCGACGCCAATAGATTCACATGTATGTGGTGTCCTTGCGATGGGATGCATGAACTGTTCCGCCACTTCCTAGAGAGGTTGAAAGCACACCATGGTCCTTAGCTCATGTTGCAGGCACCTGCCATCGCCTGCCACCCCCTCTTCTCACGACCGGACGTGTTCAGGATCCGCACCGGCAGCCCGATGATGGGCCATGGCACGATGGCACGGACCCTGAGACTGAAGGAGGTGGCAGAGTTCCAGCATGCAGATGTAGGGGGTTGGAGAGGTCGGCTGGGATAAAGCCTTCCCTCCCCGGCCACGATGGGTGTTGCTTTTGCTCGACCTGTCCCGCGGTCTTCTTACCGGAACGCTTGGGCCACCTGGGCCGCCAGAGGCAGGAGTTGGCACTGAAAGTGTCATACACAGAAGCTGAAATGCATGGACAAACACCCTCATGAAAGGGATGTGAGAAGGCACAGCATGGCTGTGAGTCGTGGAAATGAGGTTTTGCGTCATGGTTTGAATGGGCTTAACATGGCTTAATGATGTTTTGGGACGCATTGCTGATATCCCCAAAGAAGGACCAATTGTGGGTACACCCTTTTCTCTATTTAGGTTCTTCAGCCTGGAACCCGAGCATTTAGAATTAGATTCCCCGGTTACGACTCCTAGTATGAAAGAAAGTCAATCAAATGGAAAAGAACAGGACTTGAGTATCCTTGGATAGTTCCTTAGATATATCCTTAGATGGACTCTTAAAGCCCTTGGATGGACTGTTAGAGCCCTTGGAATCGCCCCTTTGTAGAGAATTGACCACTCAGCCTAAACCTTTCGCAGCAGGATCGAGCAGAACTTTGTCCATGCTAACATATTTTTTGTTGGGGAGGGATATGCTGGGCACGGATGTGTTCTTCATTGGAATGACTCAAAGTTGTGGTGTTCCAGGGCTGCAAAGTGTATTTTGTGTTTGTTGTCTTCAGTGTGGGAGAAGCACTGGGTGGGATGGGCGAAGACCCGTCGAGAATGTGAACATGGGTCATTACTTTTGAATCAGTGCTTCTAGAGGAACATGTTCAACATCAACTAACTATATTGTTGCAACGAAACAACTGACTAATGATTATATAACTATATAATATATATATATATATACCAGGACCATCCTATGGGCGTCCAATGGACTACCCTACATTGCTTAGGGATCTCCATTCGCATGGTCCAGGTATCAATTAATATAATATCATATCTCCCTAGGGATCCAATCACCTTCTCAGAAGGTGCTTGGACCCTCCTGGCACCTACAGAACAGTGTCGAACACATCACCGTACCTGAGGTTCGGTACGACTGGATTTGTAGGGTTATAAATATCTCCAAATGATTTCAGACCCAATACGTTGCACCAGGACTGGATGGGCGTCGCGTTGCACCGGTCGATGGGCGTCTCGTTCAGGTCGCGCCCTTGAGCTCGCCCTACCCGGCCATGCCACTGGGCCGGTAAACGTCGCTGCTTCGCCCGACCGACCAGTGGCCAGCCCAAGCGCTCTGGTTAGGCCAATGATTATGAGAGTCTGGTTAGGCCGTCCGGGCCGCGTCCGGGCTGCCAAAAAGAAAACATCCGAAAAGTAAGAAGGTGGTGGGGGTGGGTGCAACTGGGGTCTTTTTGGACAATTGAGATGGTTGGAGCCCTATATAGGTATGTGTATATGATTGTATATGTATGTGTTTGTAGCCTGAGTGTTTGGCTACACTGAGTGACATGAACTGTGTGCGTTCATGTGAACGAGATGGTATGATGGTACATAATGGTACACACAGTGTTTCTAAGATGGTCCTTGCGTACACTGCCTGACAGGATCAGATCGGGTCTAGATCAGGAGATATTAGGAGTCTTTTGGATTTTTTGCCAGGGTAGGGTAGAGGACGTTGATCACAGTGTTGTGGAATAGCAACGATCAGTGTTGCTGAGTCTTGCCTTTGGGGGAAGACAGTTACTTGCAACTGCTACAGTCTGGAGAGGTCTGGAGTGGTCGTGACCTTCAACCCTGTACGCAAAATGGATAAAACAAAGGGATGGAGATGAGATCAACAGCAAACCAACCCTGGTCACACGGTCACACTGATCAGCCCCTGCTGACGTGCTGACGTGCTTTTCCTGCGCAATTCGGAGGTGGGAGGAGGCCAAAAATATCACAAGTGGTGCCCCTACCCGGGTCCAAGAATGTTCCATTCACTTTCTGCCGTCCATGTTTCGGCGGTCTTTCATGCCGCAAAAATCCCAGCGAATGCAGTGAACACTGATCCAGTTGGGATCAGTTGGGTGAGAACTGGGGAGGGCAGGGAGTTCCTGGTCGACTGGTCGAGGGTTCACCGCCACCGCGCCAACCGCGGCCGCTGGGGACCGGTCTTTGATCAGGAAGACTTCGGACCAACACCCAAACACGACGAATGGGACTGCCATATATACCGCCCCATTGGGGTGGTGCCAGAGGGGCGATCGGCAAATCTTCCATGGAGTGTGGACAGATTTGCTCCAATGAAAACCCCATGGGCCGAAACCCTGCAGGCATCCCTATAGGCCCTATACGTGCCCACCTACAGGGCACGAGGCCGACGTCCGCCGATGTCCGCCTCTTCGCTTGCCCTCGTCCGACGAGCGCGGCCCAGGGCTGAGACCAGCGGCTGGTGTCGCACACCGCCTCCGGGGCCTTCGTTCTTGAGGCCCCGAGGGGGGGCGGTCGAGCGGTCGACGCGCATCGGCGGACCCGGAGGTCACGGTCAGAGCTTGGCCGATCCGGGTGGTGGAGATGGATCCCCATGCTGTCTACAGAGAATCAAAGAGATCTTGAGCTGGTTTGTGCCATATCGATGCTGAAGACTACTGTATGTAATACATACACCGACGAACGACGTGTTCCGTGAAACACCGCGAACGACGTGTTGGGTGTTTTGGGGGGGTGAGACGGCCTTCTTGCGGAGAGTGGTTTTGCCAGGAAGAGGTGGACTCAAGGAAGTTACAGAAGATGCGTCCCTGCAAGGGTACTAAGCTGGTCCTCGACATGGTTGGCGACTGAAGCAGCTTGATCAATAGGAGATCATTTCTGTTGCTCGTGAGGAGGATCTTCTTTTCAGCCGAGTTCTTGAGAACATTGGCAACTCCCACTTGAACTCCGCCGCTTTTAGCCTTCCCCCCAGCCGGCCAGAGGTTCCATCCAACCATCCTGGAAGGCCATCTCTAGCGGAATGGGTCCATGTGTTGGGGTCAGGAATTGGGGTTTTCAGGAAGTCGGAGGAGCTGGGAGAGATGTGGATGGGAGGTCGAGGTAGATTGTGGGAAATCGTTTTTGGTATGATGAGTATTTAAGAAGATGGGCAGGGCACGTTATAAACTTCAAATATCCAAGTAAAGTGGCAGAATCGGAAGAAGGCTGTTGTTGTCTTGTTGTCCCTTCCAAAGAATTGAGTTCAAAGCGTGAAGCATCGTGAAGCTGTGTTATTCTTTGGAAGTTGTGGTTTTTGGATTGCTAAATTGGTATACGGCATACGACTATAAGAAATGGAGGACCCCTCCGAATCTTCAACACTTGAGCTTGGACAAGGGAAGGGTTTTTTGTGCCACAAAGAGAGGGGCAGCATGTTCATTGGAGTCATGTTCCACATATTTCCACGTGCTTTCTCGTTCCAGATGAGGGTCCCACCGGATTGATCCTGTGTCACGTTTTGGTGAATTCGACATTAGTCAGTCTGACGGCTTCAGCTGGTGCTGAATTTGGAGACTGATTGCCTCTATCTAAACGTGGTCTAGATGTCATTAGATGTCAAAAGTTCCATTCCTTCAGTGACCCAGGAATCATTTCGTTGGGCTTTTCCATCCAAATCGATTTTGGACCAAGGGTCCGAGACTGACGAACGTGTGCCACTCACTCTGCCACTCGTCCTCGGTCGTCCCAGTGGCTGGTGGACTGAAAAAGGACCTGCCCAAGCGTACCAGGTCCCGTTGCCTACGGACCCCTGAAACAGGTGTATACGATAAATAGCTCCTCATCAAATCCGGTAGCTCCTTATTAAGGATGACTCGAGGGTTGTGAAAAGGCAACACTCTGACTGGGGGTCCTGGTAGATGTTCCACTCTAGGTGCCACTCTTCTCCACAGACCCAACGCACCCAGCTCGATCCATCGTGGGGACCTGGCACACGGTCCTGGTCGACCGGACCTGGGAACCACTGGACCCCGGCGACCGCGGAGTGGAACTGGTCCAGGTGACCCAGCCGGAAGCAGCTGGTAGGTGTTACTGATGCCTTAATACAGCTTTGATTTTCCCTATAGGTTTAAATCCCCTCAGGCCTTCGAGCGGGACATATCACACGCGATCTTTTTCAGTTGAAGGAGGTCCCAAACAAGCAAATCCAAGGTAGAATGTTTGTAATCCTGGTGAGTGGTCGGACAGCTTCAGGCGCCGCTTTGACCAAACTCTTTTGGAGCGAAGCAGGTCGCCGTTCCCGTCCATTCGAACATACCTTCCGCCGCAGCTGTTTGTTGGAACATGAGTTGGGCACCAGATGATGTTAATGGCAGTACTGGAGCATACATATAGTATAGATGCCTCAATCACCAAAATAATCCCAAAGATGTGAATATGTTCATGCAACATTAAGCTTTATCATAAAGTTATTGATGTATTTCAATCCCATTGAGGTGACATTTACATCTAGCTCCCCCACCCTTAGAGAAACTCACTTAACCCCAAGAAGCACGTGTCACTCACATGTGTGATGGCCATGTGCGCCATGTTGGCCATCAAGCCATCCTTGCCTGCTGTGAACGCATGGATGGCGACGCCGGTGGGATGCCAGCGGCCGCTCGAACGTCCTTTCGCCTCGCGTCCCGAGCAAGCGCTGGTGGCACTCTGCACCGCCCTCGCGGTGCGGCAGGTCTGGCGCTCGGGGTCGAGCCGCGCGGCTCGTCCAGGGATGCAGCTGGTGGCACTGAAGGGCCATGGCGAAGAGAGCGGACATGAAAGTGGAGCGAAAAGTTCACATGGTCACAGCCATGGTCACAGCCACGGTCACAGCGGACACAGCCACGAGCCTTCCACTCATGCCAGCCATGAAGATTCGTCTGGTCACAGCCACGAGCATTCCACTCATGCCAGCCATGAAGATTCGTCTGGTCACAGCCACGAGCATTCCACTCATGCTCACAGCCACGAGCATGCGTCTCATTCGCACGATGGCCACAGCCATGAATCTGGCCACAGCCACGGCCACAACGACTGTTCTGGCCATGGTGGCTTGTATGGCCATGGTCACTCGCACGGTGAAGTGCCCCAGTGGCTTCCTGGGCGCACGGCCATTCAACGCTTGAAAGCCACTTGGCCATTGGAACAAGTCGTGCGATGTTGGTGCTGGTATTTTGTCGAGAAGGGTAAGGGTGGAGTCATTCTCATGCAGTAGTTATGTTAATGTTGTTTCTTTGTTCAACGAGGTGATTTAGTATCAGGACCTGTCTGGGTGTCCTGGCTGGACCACCCTACACTGCAAGCGGGATCTCAAATACCCATTCAATGGTCCAGGTGTTTTGTTCCTTACCCTGACGATCCATGACCACACATAGGTCACAAATAGAAATGATCTCAGGATATGCATACGTTTCTACCACATGAGTCCGAGATTTATTTCAGTCGTTTCTGGAAAGGTGCGACGTGACGTTCAAGCCGCGAGAGCCACGGCAGAGTGGCAAGACCATGGGGGGATCTGAAGACAGACCCATAACCCGTCGACATGTATACGCCCTATCTACCTACACTTGGATCACTTGGGTGGTTGAAAGGGGGTCAATGTAATACGCACATATCATATTCCAGTCCCATCTTCTGTGTTTGGATAGGGATTTGAGCCACCTGTCCATTGGCTACGTCACATGGCCACAATCCCTCAGGGCGAGTCAAGTGGCGCAACATAGCACAATGGTCGCCTCGCATGAAGAAAAGTATATAGGGGGTCTGAATGAATGTCAAAAACCAAACGGGAGACTTGATGCAATCTTCTACAGGTGGCAGATGTAACCATACAACCAATCCTGTACCCGGCAAACATGGCCAAATTGATGCCAAATGGATCAAGTGCTGGCAGGTGCACAACCGCCAGCATTTCAGGATGTTCATGGATGGACCAAAACTACCTGGGCCTGGCTTGGATGAGTACCTGAGGCTGGTGAGGTTTGGCTGCTTTCACATACCATACGTACTTGCCGGGCTACTTTAGAGACTTCAGGTCGTTCCAAAATGCTTGGGCCATGTTTTGCCTCGCAGAAGAACACGAACGATTCGGGGCTGAGGATTTCTCATCACGGAATGTTTGTATGATTGGCATCAGCTCCATCTTCCTCTTCTCGCTTTTGCCACTGGCCTCCAGCGGGGCGATTGGCACGGGGGCCCAGGATGCTTCGAGTCCTACGAGTCCTGTCGATCCGCTGGTTGATGTCCTGTCCGCATCCATGGGTCGAAGGTGAGTGCGCATGATTTCAATGCAAGAAACGCAAGTCCCTGACACTGTGGTCAAGGAGACGAAGGGTGTGGTCAAGGTGACCCTCAGGAAAGTGCGCTTTAGGCAGCTTTGGGGGGCAGACAAATCTCAAATCAATTTTGCCCCTCGAAATCCTCAACACAGGCTGTCCGGAGGTTCCAGAGCATGGGAACAAGATGGAACGTGCAGCCGACCGATGGTGGAGACCATGGCCTTGGCATTGCTTGGCTACTACCTGGACCCATTAAGAGTCAAGGGTCAGATCTAGTCATGTTTTTTTACGTCGACGCCCCTCAACAAACCCAGCTTCTTGTGGTCATTGTCCCTTACCAAGCCCTGGTTCGATGTGGTTTCATTCGCCCAATCGCGTCCTTCAGGCACCGTGCTGAAATACATTCGTCCCTCGCTTGGTCGCGACGAGAGAGAGATGGACTGGGTGGGCACAAGAAGTACCAGTACCAAAAGCCTAGCTCCAGACGAGTACAGAGATAAGGTTGTTGGGAGAAATGGAGATGAATAGCTTGAAAGGTAGATGATGGATGATGAATAGCTCGAAATTTAGCTGGCACGTGAGCAGGAATGAATCAGCACTCAGGGGTCCTATGGCACATGGCAAGCTGTCAAAATTCAACGAATGGTTTAAGGGAGAATCTTTCAAGAAGTGGGGATTGATTTGCAAGGGAGCTTCAGCAAAAATTAAGTCATTCTGGACAAAAAACAACCAAGTATCCAACATGCTTGAAGATCTCTTCAAAACATGCTCAAATCCTCTTCAAAACATGCTCAGCTCTATTGGTCACCTTTGTCTCGCAACGTGGCGAGAAGCAGGTCCCCAGTTGAAAGGGACGTGGACCTGCGTCATCTAGAGCCATCCAGGTCAATTTGGCTCTGTCCCTGTTTACATCGTCAGGGGCCCCAGTGTTTTTGAGTCGAAGCAGAGTTGAGAGTCAATTGAACTGGTGTCTTTTGCAGGGATGGAGGGCAGCATCATGTAGGAGTTCAAGTAAAAAGGGTCGGGTGTATTCGAGTTGGAAGACCTCCCAACCAATTGTTGTTCTTTGGTGTTTAACACATTTGTTTCCATCCAGAGGGTCTTTGCTGGGTCAGGCGATTTCACGACTCCAATGTTGCACTCCACAGCTCCTACAGATTTGACCGGTTTGGCCTGTAAAACCTGCAATGACCTGTATAATCCAACCTGCAATTGCCGGTTTTCCCACTGTAGAATCCCATGGTTCATCCACACCACGACACCCTTTTGTGTTGGGCGTCTCTGAGTGGGATTGATCCTCCGACGTTGGATCGTTTCCGATCGCACCTGGTCCTTTTTCACGGGCTGCTCCTGTTTTTGTTGGCACGGTTCCTTGCTCAAATTGTGGTGGGGGCTATGCCACCGACCGAGAAGGTAATTGTACTTGCTCTTAGTTTGGATTTTGGGGGGGTCCAACTACTATCTTCAAGAGCCCGAGCCCGTGCATTTGCATCTTCCCTTTTGGGGCTTCAAGTACATCCTCTGAAAGAAAACAGTGTCATTTCTGTATGTCTTCAACCTCCTCGCTTCTCTACAGATCCAAATTCGGGGGATATGATGACTGATGACTCGCTTGCAACAGGTGTCCCTTTTGGTAAACCCCAAACCTTCCCATCATGACATTGTTGCTACATGTTGCTACTGGGTTTGGGACAACACCGGACACTGGAAGGAGGGTCATCACCAGGTACACTCCCTGGAATGACCATGGAAGTGGAGTTCACAATGTCTTTCTAGAGGACCATGGTCATTTCAATGGTCATCCTTTCGGGGGGCCAGCCATGCCACGCCACTTCCGCTTGAGTCGTGTCGACCCGTTCAATTCGTGACGACCAGTTCGCATCGAACCATGTAACCAGTTGCGGTCGTGAGGACTCGCGGCATCAAGAAATCTCTCCCTAGACCAAGGGGCCCCCAGGCCAGGGGTGTCCAACTATAGCTCCGAACAGAGGTGATTCGGGGTATCCATTAACCACCCCTTACAGTAGGGGGGTAGGGATCCGTTCGAACACCGTGGTGTCTCCACCGGTGCGGACCCGACTGGCACCGGCCTACACTGTCACGTCTACATCACCGTACCTGAGGAGAAGAGTCCGGTGAAGTGCCCAGTAGCGAAGTAGCGTCCTTGTTGCTTGCCAGGAGGCCCCGTTCGTAGCTTCGAACGTTACGCCTTTTAGGTACGAAAACGGATCCCTAGGGATTGTCATCACCAACCATTCATCAGCGAGCAGACCCCGCTCCTCCACACGCCTCTCCTCGAAAATCTCCAAACCTTCTGGGGAATCAGGGGTCTCCTTCACGGCCCTTGCATGTGTCGCCCACGAGCATGGGCACGATGGGCAAGGGTTCAAGGTACTGGGCAAGGGTTCAAGATACTGTTTTTGAGCAACGAAGAGTATGTGGATCCATTATCCTACTGCCACAGCTAGTCAGACCTGACTAGGTACATCAACCACTGGAAATTCACACAGAAATCACCCGGAAATCACCCAAACTCATCCGCATGTATGGCATGTTTCATGACATGTCTCTTGGTAAAACTTCAGGTCCGATCCATGAGGTCCTTTGTTTTTTTTGATGGGAAGAGTAATGAAGAGTATGTGGATCCATCATCATCATCATCATCATCATCATCATCATCATCATCATCATCA